TAGGAAATACCTTCTAATTATAGCAAAAATAAACACAGAAGTCTGGGTAGCCTCAGTGAGTTCGAATCTGAATCGAGCAGTCTGAGGTTGTTCAATGTTGACCTTAGCTTACAGATCAATGCAGCCTAAAATGGGTATCAGCTAATGACCTGGGAAGTAAAAGCAGCCTATGTCACCGACAAACTGCCTACTGGTCTAGAAAAATAAGTGTCTAGCATCAGACACTTGATGCGCCATTGGTGTAAAAATAACACCTTACTTATTTAGAAAAAAAGATGCAAAATACAAAAGCATAGGCATGTAGTCAGTAAGTTAGTTAGTCTTTCCTCTTTAGTATAGGACGGCACATGGGGCACAGGACATAACTCTCCATGTCTGGCGGTTTGTTGCCTCCTGCTTTAGGTCGTGGATGTTCATTAAGCCCATGGTGGAGCCTTCCCGGATGATGATTCTCTTGGTCTTCTCCATTTTCTTTTCTCTTCCAGTGTCCATATGAGGGCTTGATTGGGGAAGACGTAGTAAGATCGGTGATTTCCCAATATCTCCCCAAAGGATGACGTCAGAGGACAATATTCTAGAGGATGGTAAAAATTGGTTTCCCGGCTTTCTGATGCTTTTAACTACTCCAAAACATCTTGAACTGGGCCTAACCCCAACCCACCTACGTCCCACAAGAAAGTGCAGCCTAGGTCCCATGACTATCACCTCCTAAAATAATTCACTGCCTGTTTGGGGGGAGATACTGGGATAGAACCGTAAGATCTACTGGTATTTCCAAAGCCATACGACAGGGCTCGGTATAAGGGAAGAACAGGACAACAAAGACCTGGAAACAAAATCTGGCTGACCAGACGGGCTTTGCTTATAAAACATCAAATTTCAGCAAATCTGATCACCAAAACTTGAAAAAACCGGGTCAAACAGTCAACAGTAACTCAGTGACCCAACCACTCAGCATATGGGTTGGCAGAGTCTGAGTATTTCAGTGTAAACCAGAACTTACCATTAAAACAGCTATAAATATTTATAGAGGTATACCTCATCTAAACAACAGATACATAACATTTGAAAGAGAATAAATATCACAATATTTGAAAAACATGGCAGAAATAGATAATATAATCTTCTTCTTCTTCGTTTTCAGCAATCAATATTTGCTGGCATCTCTCTTTTCACACTCGCCATCGCCATGGGCGGTGAGTCCCGTGCTTCCTCACAGTACAAAATAACACTATCGTCAGGAAAGACGGAAAGATGTCAACAACTTTCACAAAGTGGATGGGGATGCTTCAGGTTTTCACTGGTGCCCCACAATTTGTCTTGCAGAGACGCAACTGTGGGCTATACTCCCTCTTTTGGGCACATTTTTTATTTTAAAATTGACATCGGAAAATACTGAGGATACCCACACAGATGCTCCGTCTCTCACAGCAAATGTCTTCAGGCATAGAAGCCAACTGTTCCAGTGGCAGACATGTTGTGCACACGTCATACTATTCCTCTCATATATCCTTTCTCTCTGTATCAACTTTCTGGCTGGCAAAGTTTGAGCAAATTTCACGATTCTCTGGCAATTTTAGTATGCACAACCACAAAAACATACAGATTAACATATCTTGACAATCTTCTGTAAATTCCAACAGAAAGTTCTGATTTTTCATCCATTTCTGGACTGTGTCGTTTTTCCCACAAGTTGAGTGCTGCGTGCACATCCATTTTACAGTTTTGGCTTATTTGTATGCAGACTGTTGGTTCTTACCTCTCAAACAGGGGAAAAAGCCTCCTAAGTAGTTAACTTTTACGACATGCTTTTCAGGAAGACGGTGGGTCTATTCTTTATTTTCCCCATATTAGGGCCCTGGAACCCACACGGGAATCTTGACATTATAATGAAACACTCACCGGGACCTTATCAGTCTGAAGTTTTCCACCCCTCACATGACAAATTACACATTGATCTTAGCTAAAATGCAGCCAGCTTCAATCCTCTATAAGGGATGGAGACCGAGTGTTATCGGTACCATCAGTATTGGAACTCTGTGCTGGCTGCTGAAGATGAGGACGAAGCACACATGGTAATGCCCCAAGTGCTGTGATGTTAATTTTTGACTCAACAACGCAACAAAGGGATGGAGATTTTCCTCCGTCGCGAACAAAAATAAAAATCCTAACCTGCACAGTTTGTGGCGACTGCATTAATCCTGCAGCTCTAAACCTCCAGGTTCATGACCAACCTGAACTACACCACCCTAAAAGTAGTAAGTACACTGAGTAAAGACATCACCCATTAAGCGTTGATTGCCCATCATTAATATGAATCTAGCATCAAATACCTGACACACCACTGGAAAAGGGTCACCATGTGTCCTGTTTTCACTGGGACAGTCAGGTGGATAGAATTCTAGACATAAGCTCTAGAACAGAACGTACATTTATAGTTATATCTTGGGCCTTGTAAGAGTTCATAGTTTTAGATGCTTTTAAATAATAACAATAATAAATTCTACAATATTTTTATGAGGTGGGGTGGGGGTCAAACTGATCTGCTTGGGATGTCCCGGTTTCAGCTCAAGATGTCAGTGATATGTCCCAGTTTCAGCTTAAGATATTAGTGAGATGACCCAGTTTCAGCTTAAGATATTAGGGAGATGACCCGGTTTCAGCCCAAAATATTAGTGAGATGTCCCGGTTTCAGCTTAAGATGTTAGTGAGATATTCCAGTTTCAGCTCAAGATGTTAGTGAGATATTCCAGTTTCAGCTCAAGATGTTAGTGAGATATTCCAGTTTCAGCTCAAGATGTTAGTGAGATATTCCAGTTTCAGCTCAAGATGTTAGTGAGATATTCCAGTTTCAGCTCAAGATGTTAGTGAGATGTCCCAGTTTCAGCTTAAGATATTAGTGAGATGACCCGGTTTCAGCTCAAAATATTAGCGAGATGACCCGGTTTCAGCTCAAAATATTAGCGAGATGTCCCAGTTTCAGCTCAAAATATTAGCGAGATATCCCAGTTTCAGCTCAAGATATTAGTGAGATATTCCAGTTTCAGCTCAAAATATTAGCGAGATGTCCCAGTTTCAGCTCAAAATATTAGCGAGATGTCCCAGTTTCAGCTCAAGATGTTAGTGAAATATTCCAGTTTCAGCTTAAGATATTAATGAGATGTCCCAGTTTCAGCTTAAGATATTAGTGAGATGACCCGGTTTCAGCTCAAAATATTAGCGAGATGTCCCAGTTTCAGCTCAAAATATTAGCGAGATGTCCCAGTTTCAGCTCAAAATATTAGCGAGATGTCCCAGTTTCAGGTCAAGATATTAGCGAGATGTCCCAGTTTCAGGTCAAAATATTAGCGAGATGTCCCAGTTTCAGGTCAAGATATTATGATCCCCCTACACTGGCAATAAACAAAATAAACATTCTTTACTCTGCCTGCAAGAATGCACAGAAACGAGAGAGCTGGCAGGCTGACTTCATTGACTGCACAAAAGATGGACAGAGACAGTATTCTGTAGACAAGAAATGACAACTTGTAGAAAGGTGATGTGCCGTCTGATAAATGTTCTCTATGCTGGATGCCCAAATAAGGAAAATGGTATTATTTAGCTGGCCTCAAAGACCACAGGGGACAGTGGCTTTGATAAGCAGATGAACTGAAATAACATGCATACACTTCGATTTATCCTTGGAGACTGAGCACCTAGGGGCTTGTCCCTAGTGCCACTGGTTCTTTATCATAATCCGATGGTGATAAAATGCAAATTAAGTTGTGCACAGATCAAAAAGCGATAAATAAACAACTGCAAATTGATGTTTTCAAGAAACTTAGGCCTTCTCATAAGCAAACAAAAAAAAAACACACACACACACACTCTCTCTCTCTCTCTCCTGCATTTTCCCTTAAAACCTTAAATGGCGGTTGACATATATGTCGAGGTTTACAGCTAGGCTGTGATATGCACCTTTCAACCAAAAACATCCAAATTTCTACCCAAATTGGGGTCCCGGAACCCAAACTGGGATATAATAATTTAAAATGCATTCAATAAATAACAAATGTGGCATAACAGGTAATTCATGGTCACTTTCAGAGGTCATCTGAAACACCCAGGGCAGAAATGAAAGTAGTCCCTTAGAAGAAACTAATCCACCAGGGATACACTGCAGGCAGTAACTGACAGCTGGGAGCCAGATGATGCATCTCCTGGTGAATGCTTATCATGGGTGCAGGAGCAAGGATATAAGGACTGAACTGGTCTCAATGACTGCAGGCGAGGACAGCTTTGACAGGCAGACAAACTGAGCATTCAAGAAGCAACATGTACACACCTACTCTGTCTTTCATGTCTCTCCTTTGTGGGGACAAGAAGCAGTCTAGTAATGAATGTGATCCAAAATGTACATGCACAGAAGAACATGGCAAATTAGATCAACAAACATCTCATACAAAGCATATTCATTCCCACCCTATGCTATCAGTGCCAGACATGGTCATTCACAGCAAAACATAAAAGAAAATTAGTAACCATGGAAATGAGGTGTCTGAGAAAGACTGTAGGAGTGACCAAAAGAGATGAAATCAGGAATGAGGTCATTTGAGATAAAGTTGGTACAGAACCGATTCTTAATTATATTCAAACACAGCAAATCTGATGGTTTGCTTGCCCACTTGGAGAGAATGCTTTCTGATGCTATACCATACAAGGCATATACCAAAAGAGGAGAGGGATGCAGAGCAAGAGGTAGACCAAGAACAATATAGTAAGGTAACAACAGACAAAGTCTACAGCACCACAATGTGTCTATGGTCGAAGCAGCCAAAACAGCTAAAAGCAGGACCTTATATCTCTCTCGACACCTGAAGCGGAAAAAGAGGTCGTAAAAAAGAAGAAGAATTAGATCAACAGTCAATATCATATTACTGGTGGTCAGTCAGAAAAAGAAATTGCACCCAAACTGCATAAGTCAAAACAACAATATTAACCAGAAAAGCAAAGGAAGAAGATTATATCCTCCGTTCATCAAGTCGAGGGGGTTCCTTTATCTCTAGCTCAGTATTGTAGACAGCATTTTGCTGAGCTACTTTGAACCGGTTGGCTGTGTATGTCGCAATACCAGTCATCACCAGTCCATTGCCAAACCACCACATGCTGGCCCGGCTTTCTCCGCTCCACATGACGACAAGCACCGTTTGAAACACGGATTTGGCGTTGATGCTGATGTTGTGGGTCAACGGAGAGGTCAGGGAAATCTGTAGGGCACTGACCCAACCCATAGTCAGGCTCAAGCATCCCGAAAAAAGCAGTACCGACCACAAGGTGGCGTCACCGGAAGCGGGGGATCGGAGAAAATTGTCGATCTGCGATGTGGAGATAACCAAGGGGGTCAGTCCTACACTGCTGATGAGGCAGTTGTTTACAGCCAACTCCATAGATGAGACCCTCTTCTTCTTCTGTATTCTTTTGAAGAAGACTCCACAGAGAGCAGCAAACATGCTAGCTACTACGCCGTAGATGATCCCAACAGGACTGACTCCCTGAGAGAGAAGTTCTTCATCGACACAGACATAAAATCCACAGACGATGCACAGACAGGACAACATGAGTCTTGAGGTAATCTTCTCATGGAGAATGAAGACACTGAATGTGATAACGAATAACAATGTCAATGACCTGGCTGCTTGGTAGAAGGCAACACTAATATGCTTGAGCATGAGGTTGTTAAATACGAGCGTGCCGGTAAATGTCACCGATGCCATAACCATATCTGGATGTAACACTGTGGAAAGACTTACAAACGGCGGATGCCAGGGTAAATTGACAAATGAACTAACCAGGTGCATTATCAGGACAGTAACAACCCCGACCACATTCTGTACCCATACGATGAACATCGATATGTCCCCTTCCACAGCCTGTTCATTGACGAGGCTTTTGTTAATAAACACCAGAGAAATTGCTACCACCCAGTGACAAATCACGACTGCTGCAATCAGAAAGATGCTGTGCTGTACTGCTGTCGGTAGACCAGCACCCAAAACATGTGAATTCATCCCACAGAACAAGCAAAATCAAACAGGAAACAACATACTGGCAACACACAGAAGTTCAATGAGTGTTAAATATGTAAATAAAATTTTTACCTTTTCACCACAAAATCAGTAATTTTTAGTTTTTTTCTTCTTAAGGACTTAATAAATTCAAAATGCAGACGTATGAAAATGTTGATAATAAACTTTCCTTATCTTTAAATAAAATAATGGTAGAGATGTCAGCATCTCCTGCATTCGTAAACAAACTCATTTAATTTTCTTGATGCGCTGATCTAGTTAACTTGCAGACACTGTTGCCAGGAGATAATATACGCAATAAACTTTCCTGCAATTCTCCTTCTCTACACTGATGGTACATATGTCCTCAGCGCTCGTCTGCATTTAATTAGATGGCAAGTTTCAGCAAATATGAAGGAAGTAATTCACAAACCAACATCCTTGAGTTCACTGCAAAAGAATAAATTGTAATTGTTAAAAACCATGTCATTTCAGACATTTCTTTGAAACTACAGCCTCATATTTCATTCGTTAAGTAAAGTAAAGGACTCTTTTCCACGCGTTCAGGCATACTGAGCATACTTGGCTAGACCTACATTTTATAGCCAATCAGCATTAGGTGGGTGATGAGGTCAGCATCACGCCAGCCCCCTTTACTTCCCAGGACTTTTATCTGGTACCCATTTAAGGCTGGGTCAACCTGGAAGTGCAGGTCATTTTTGGAAATAAAGTCTGGCAGCATTCAGATCTGAACCCACGACCTTCAAATCTGCAGGCAAACAGCTAGCTGCTAGACCACAGCGGCTCTCCATCTGTTGAGGAAAGTAGTTACTGGAAAGCCAAAAGGGGTATCAAGCTTCATGGACAATACAGGTTCTCTACTAAGCGGCCCAGGCAAAGCCCCCCTCCTCTTCTACACACCGGTACACACTAGCTCGCTTCTGATTGGTCAGCCTTCAGCCTACCTCACTTTTGATTGGTCGCCCTTGAGCTATTTACCTTCACACAAGGTGACAGGGCTGTTCTGCAATGCTGTTGATATCACATGTTGTATATTTTATCATGCCAGAGCTTTTAACACTAAAAAAAAATCAACTGGGTCTAACACACAGCCCTTTTAGAGAGTGACAAAACCTATGTCACAGTCTCTTTCTCTGAATAAAAACATAAATGCAAGACAATAACAGAGCGCCACACCCATAACCTAGACCACGGTAGTCTATTTCAACAAACTTATCAATGGAATGTGACCTACTTCCCATGGAGAGACTAATGTTTGTTTGACCTAATCATTTTATGAAGATGTCCCCAGATAAAACTACCCATCACCCCAACAACAAAAAAATAATGAACAAACTGAAAATGTCACAAATTTTTCATATCTAGGCTCCATAAGAAACAATAATGGAGACTGTTTAATTGAGGTCAAAAGGAGGGTGGCCGCAGCAATACATGGATTAAACAGCATGTTATGGCTAAGCACCGGCAAGGAAATCAAAGTTAACATTTTGACAGCATGCATTATTCCTCTAGCAACATACAATGAAATATCCTCTTTTTCTTTGCTGGCTGTAAACTCCGGCCAAAAGTTCTGGCTGTTCATCCACTTCTGGAATTTAGACTCATCGCAGAATTTGAGTTTTGTGTGCACATCCATTTAACAGATCTGGCATTTTTGTCAGCAGACTGTTGTTTACTCACCTCTGAGGCAGATGCACTCTGACTTTAAAGGAAACATATGAATGTGAATTGTCGACTATCTCCAGGTCCTTATGGAAAAAAACAGAGGTTTTTGAGCTGAAATGCCATAGAAAGATTGTCAAAATACCATGGACAAAGAAGAAGAAAATAATGAAATTCTAAAAGATTTGAAAATCTAGGAAGATTAGCTAATAAACAACATACTGTCAGGAAGCTGAAATATTTGGGTCATATCAAGCACCACACGAAGATTGTCACAGGATATAAGCGACTCCTTGGATATGAAAGTGCATGAGGCGAAAGAGCTGGCGAGAGACAGTTTCTTTCAGGCAGACCATGATAAGAATGACGCTCTGTAAAGGACTGATAATGTTACTATTTATCATTCTCAGAAGGTATGCTGCATCTGTTGTAGTACAATTTCAATTTGTAGTACTTGTACTCATGCATTCTAGGAACCTACATTGCTCTACGCCTATTTCTTGTATGTTCTTCCTAATCCTTTTAGATAAAAAAAAAACTTTAATACACTTTTTAAACCAAATGGTATGTGAGTATTAACTTTAACTAAATAGTTTGGGGTAACTTTTAACTGTTTTAATTTAACTTTTTTTTTTACTTACTGAAGTTTTGAAGGTGGGACCAAAAATTAAAACATAATATAATAAAAGCTAGTCAAGAATGCATGTAAATTTCACAAAAATAATAATTAAAAATATCTTAAGAAACATATTACTTCGTGTATTCTAAAATCTGCACAAACAAAAGAGGCAACTCACTTAACAGATTAATGATGGCGATACAAATATTGATTGTTTTCATGTAGCAGAATTAGTCTGCCATAACTAGAGCTCTTCTCGGGGAAAGATACAATAGGCTAATTCTATACATACTTCCGGCTTTAGAAGCATTTGTTGATCAACAAATGTACCTCATGTTATTTATAGGCAACAGTTATTTAGTTCAATCATCACCCTAATGATATTTCTGTCTTTAGTGTTTAATATATTTTTTAATATAGCTGAATTCATCATATAGGAATTTAAACAATATTTAAGATTTTTCAATATGATAATAATTATTTAGAAACTGGCAAGCGAACCCGGAAGTGAGTCACTTTATAAAATATTTACAGTCAAGCGGCGCAGCAATAGAAGGCGTGAATAAGGGACATAATGCTGGAAATTTAGACGATGCAGTAGAGCTTTTCCCCTGCCCACTTCTCTCTCTCTCTCTCTCTCTCTCTCTCTCTCTCTCTCTCTCTCTCTCTCTCTCTCTCTCTCTCTCTCTCTCTCTCTCTCTCTCGGTGTGTGTGTGTTTTCAACCTCAGGTAATTTAATATGCCAACTTGTATTACTTAAAGTAATAGCTTCTAAAGTTGAGTCAAGAATTGACATCACAGTACTCTGGGTATTTCCATGCATGCTCCGTCCTCATCTTCAGCAGCCAGCGCAGATTTCCAAGAATGATGGTACCGGTCACAATCTGGTTAAAAGTCTGTCTTGCCTTTCCTCTGAGTGTAGTGAGTCGGTGCCTCATTCTCCCCAGGCCATAATAATCTTTTTTCTCTATTGATTCCGTTGCTTGTTCCCAAAGGGCCTTGACCACATCTGCCTTGTCGTGTATCAATTCACCACCCAGTGGTGTGGATCCAGCCAATATGTCTGCATGTTCATTACCCACAACGCCGGTATTGCTGGAGAAATAGATTCTAAAAACGGACATATAGTGAAACTACTACTGGCACCACTGGGGAATTTGAACTTTTTGCTGTCTGCTGCAGATAAGGACGGAGCACTTATAGGAATGTCCCGAATGTTATGATGTCAGTTCTTAGCTCATCACTCTAGTAATAACTTCTTAGAATAGAGTGAGTGAAAATAGGTTTTCTTGGTTAAAATGGGCGGTTGGATTGCTTTTTTGCGGTTTACAGCTAGCCTGTGATATCTGCTCAAAACACATTACATTTTAAAAATTTTAATGTTTTGCCTTTTACGACAAGATTGTTTGTAGACAGTAGGGTTTTCGTCCTCCTAAATATGGGAGCCTTAGAAGCCACCTAGTAACTTCACAATTCCTGCAATATAACACAACCTTACATACACAATTGATGAAGATTTACTTTGGTCAAGTACCTAAAGGGAGATAATTCTCAACTGCGTCAGGTGTTCACGTCGCGCCGCTGGAAACGATATTATTTTTTAATCTCTACTGTCCGCCATTTTCTCCGGTGCTGTATCCGCTTACCTTCAACAGTTGCTGGTCTCCGGGATAAACTGGGAGAGTTGTGTTAGTGAAAGTGCTTTTCGGTAACTGCATTTCCATCTTCCACAATGACGAACTCTTCAGAAAGTGCTATTAAGTTTATCGACGGACTCAAAAATGTCGATCAGCTGGTCTGTCTGGCGAAATTAGCCGAACAGGCTGAAAGATACGACGATATGGCGCGGGCTATGAGGAGAGTTACTGAACTGGAGGGGAAACTGACTCAAGAAAAGCGAAATTTGCTTTCAGTTGCTTATAAAAATGTTGTCGGCGCACGCCGTTCATCCTGGCGAGTGATCTGCATGATCGAACAAAAGGCAGAAAATGAAAAGAGGAAAGCTGATGTCCAAGAAGCTAGGGCTACCGTGGAAGCAGAGCTGGATGCGACTTGCAATGAAGTTCTTGGTTTGTTGGAGAAACACCTGATCACTGATGATTGTTCTGATGAAGAGAAAGTGTTTTATCTGAAAATGAAAGGTGATTATTACCGTTACATTGCTGAATACAAGGCTGAACAAGGGCCTGAGCGCACAGCAGCCATCACAAATGCTGAAGAAGCCTACTCAAAGGCCATGGAGCATGCTAAGAAGACGATGCCATCCACACATCCCAATCGTTTGGGCCTCGCTCTCAACTTCTCCGTTTTCTATTATGAGATTCTCAACTCTCCAGACAGGGCGTGCAACTTGGCAAAACAAGCCTTTGATGAAGCTATTGGCGATTTGGAGAAATTGCAAGAAAGCGACTGTAAAGACAGTACGTTGATAATGCAGCTTCTTCGAGACAATTTGACCCTGTGGACATCTGATAGCCAAGCGGAGAATTGCGATGATTAATCAAAACCTGAAACTAACAAAAAACTTTTTTGCGATGAGGGAGAATGAAGTTTCTTTTGACAGTTAGCTGTATTATATTTTTTCGTGCTCAGATTTAGCTTTCAGTTCAGTGCTACATCAGCAGTTTGTGTCTTCATATTTCAACATTGCACCTGTGCTGGAAAACCACAAATTCATATTTTTTCTGGATTTAACTTTAGGAAAATGGCTAGCTCTATTTGTTAGTCAGTTGTCAGGAATTAACAAAATCTACGAAGAAATGAACATTAAGACATCTAATTGTCAGCAGAGATCCCAGGGAAAGTTGCAAGTCAGCATTCTGTGTGAAGCTAAAAGGCTCGCAACTTGGTGTGTTGTAGTGGGATTCTGATTCAGCTGCCAAATATTCAGATCTGCTGCTTGAATGTTTAATGCTGATATTAAATGTGCTGCATAAACATTACTACCAAACAGCTTTTAGCTGTGTACAAAAATTTGCATTCTTTTTGGAAATTTACTTTAGTATTTACACTCTTCGCATTACCAGATATTGAGGAAGATAGGATTTTGACAATCTGACATTATTATTTTGTTGACTTCGTGTGTGAAAGTGATATATTTCAACTACATTTGTTTTAACATACTTGAAATTGTGATTAAAATGAATTTTGTGACATTCTTGAAGAGAACTTACCATATAGTAAACACATATCGATAAGCCAGCTGGAAATTTTTCCACACAACTGACTTTTGGAATATTTGATACTATCAGATATTACTTCCTTAAATTAGCAGTTTCATGGATTAAACAAACTTTTTTTTTTTAACCATTTGGTAATAACCAGTCCTTGAACCAGTGGAAATTTTGTTATTGATGATCATCAGGATTGACACCTTTGAATTACCCATTCTGATTAGCTTGAGCATCCTGAATCAAACATATTTTGTATCTTCAAACTTGCCACAAATTCTACTGCAAAAATGTTTTTGTTTCTGAAAGTGGAAATTCAACATACATTTACTTTGTGAATTTATTAAAACAGTTGTGTGTCTCATATTGTGGAATAAACTCAGTGGTAGATTTCACCACCTTGTACTAAGCCCACACAAAGATCAACATAAGCAAGCGCTTTGCTGAGAAAGCAGTTTTTAACTTATACAGTTAAGAGCAAAATTAAAAATTGAGTGATACACTATCAGTTGCAAGTAGCTTGGTTACTTAAACTGTATCCCGAATGGCTGAGCCTTAATGTAACAAAGACTTTGCCTCGAAGTTCAATAGAGACGAGGGATAGAAGTAGTTTAACTAATAATTTCCTTAAAGTCTGGACACACCGACAAAAATACATGTTTTCAAGAATTGAAATTTATTAAAATTTTATCAATTTGACATTAAATGTCTTAAATATCTTTTCTTCGGGCTGTAAACTCCGACTGAGCGTTCTGGTTTTTGTCCACTTCTTGACTCAAGTCTTTTTACAGAACCTGAGTGTTCAGTGCACATCCATTTTACAGATCTGACATGTGTGTGCAGACTGTTTGTTCCTTTTCGGATACTCCGACTTTAATGGATGCCGCCACCAATTAGACTCTTACAACATGCTTGGGGATGAGGTAGTTGGTCTATTCTCCTTTACCCAGTACCAACTTAGGGATGTTTTTAATGTGATTTCTATCATTTGTGATGCAATGATTCATGCGCTGAGCAAAGTTTGTGTGAACTTGTCAATCCACATTGCCGCAAATTTTAGCACATTCACTCTATGTGATTAATTGTGTTAACATCTGATTCTCATTGAGTATGCTTTCTCCCTTAGCATACTCCCCAGAAAAATGAGGCCAAGGTCAGGTGAACTAAGACTCCACATGACCACATCTTTCAATCCATTTACGAAAATTGTAATGAGATTTGTCATGTGTCCAGACTTTAGGTTAACATAACATCTTTATGTGATAGAAGGCATTATTAACATTATATTTTCTTTGGAAACACCAAGAAATATGTGTGGTGGTTTGGTACTGCAGGAGTTAACTGTAGAGACACTCGGAGTCACTGATTGGAAAGAGGCGGTCAATACAGAGATGTGTGCAGGCAGGTGACGTGACGTCTGCAGCCATGAACACTTTATTAGACATTTAGTGTCAATACTGATAAAACAGTTGCTGCTTTAAAGGTAGTGAAATGTGAATATGCTGTCATAATCTGCACTTTGCTTTGAAGTTGTTCATTGTTGTTTCATGCTTGTAAAGTTCTTCATGTTCTTTGATTGAGAAGGCTAATTTGTCCCATGAGAAAGTTTCTTGTTTTGTTTTGTTTAAAGCCAGGAGCTCCTTACACGCATATGCCTGCAGATTACACCTTGCTGGTGAATCTGTTATGGGTTCCCTGATTATAACTTCTTTGATGGGTGAACCGGGGTATATGGGATTTGCCTTGTTGAGCTGCCATCCAGCCTTAAGATATTTGAGTCTCAGGGTGGTACGGTGAACCTGTAGGTAGCAGCCCAGAGGGCGCAAACCAGTGGATCGATAAATTGTAATGCTGAAAAGAGCTGGATAAATTGAATGGGGCAGTGTTCATAATCTGAGTGTGGGAGTCAGCAGATGAAAGGCCCCAAATATTGGTTCTCCTGTAAACAGATACAGTGCATTTACATTCAAATAAAACAGAACAACTATTTCATTCTTCAAAGTTTGTTTGATGTTCTTCAAATAACCAGTGGCCTCTGATTAACAGTTTTACCAGAAAAATGAGGGACCTCTGATTAACCGTCTTAAAAAAATAAAGAGTTGCCTCTGATTTAACTGTCTTACATACAGCAGTGTAACATTGAGTTTGATACATCTCACTTACGGAGAACCGTTTATGTCATTGTTTTACCTTTGTCGGCTTTGCCGAATCCCTCTCTAACTGCTGCTCCATGTCAGTCTGCTGTTTAACCGAAAACTCCTCGACTTTTAATTGTTCCCAACTTTGATTTGATGATCATGTTTTAATGTAGTGTATCATTTGTACATCATTGTCCATTCTACATTTAGTCATGTTTTTGTTGGCTTCAATGTCTCCACTGCAATGTCGACCAAATTTGCTTCATTTTGAGACAGGTTGCAATTAGTCTGCGAGTTGGGATTGCCTTAACTCTTCCTTTCCCGGCTATGTAATGCGTCTGGATAGTGAATAGTTAAATTTGTGAGTATTGGGGCAGAAGTTATATAATAAAAGGGTCAGAATTAGTTAATTCTTGTTCTGCCTTCACCCTTAAGAGGGCGATTGACGTGTTGTGGTTTACAGCTAGGCTGCGATACTTACGCCCTTCAGCCCAACACACCAGATTTCAGCAAACTCCTGATTGTTTTACCTTTATGACATGCTTAAAGGTGGCAGCGAGCCTGTTATTCTTACTCCAAAATGGGGCCATGCAACCCACACAAGGAAGAATGGGTTAATGAAAATACCTTTCTGCAACTGAAGTGACTAAAAGTGCAACTTTCCAGGACAGAAAGCATTATCATCTTGGGTTTATATGGTCTCTGCTACACCTGGCAGGATGAAGTCCCCTAAAGGCTGGATTCATTTATGCAGTTGTTGTATTTTTTTTATTTAGGCCCTCACTGGAATGTCACATTACATAACTTTGAATATTAGAGTAGCCTGGACATCTAGTTTGGAATTTATCTAGATTTCTCTATCTGAATGCTATGTAGTTTGGTTGTAGATTGTATCTGAACATATAAGATGTGCGTAACCCATGACATTCTTATGCGATCAGCAGTGTAGAAAACTTCAAAACATCCTCCCATCTTTTGCAAGTGCAAGCCGAGCTGTTTCCTTAATCAATCTGCTTTTTGGGCTTGCATCGACAGTGCTCATCGTTAGGAAAATACTTGCAGTTACAGATTCTATCAAAAACCTGGAATTATTTGCTTCTCGCTGTATTGTACTTCTCTGGCATGTGCGATAAATTTGTGTTTGATATGTTTATAAATACTTAATTTCTTTGGCACAATTGAACAGGGTTATGAGAAAATAGTGCTTTATTTGTGCTCTGACTGATTACTGGCTCGTTGCGTATGTTCTTTGAAAGGAAATAAAAACAAGAAGTAAAATGAAACACCCATACCCCATTCATTTGAAATTAGTCAAGTGATTGATCACTATTCCTGAAGTTTCCAGTTTGTACTTTTAAATACATCGGTATTTATTATCATAATTAGTCACGTTTAGCTTACTGAAATCGTAATCTTATTACTTTGTTGCATTTATTTTGCCTGTTTTTTTTTTGTTTTTTTTAAAATAAATATATATATATATTTAGCTTTTTTAAATATGTCTATCACGATAATTAAAAAAAACCAAAACAATGCCAGTGCACTCTGTTGTGGTTGATGTGTTTAGTCTGTGTGATATGTTTAATATACGAAAATCCATAAAGGCAAAGATAATGAGAATTAATCAGGCAAATAGTAATGTGGATTTTTCTTAATGGCACCCCATTCCCAGACGTGGAGTTGTTCACCTATTTGCACAGTAATGTAGATGAAGGTGGGGAAACTGAGAGATATTAAAATAAGAATACAAAAAGCAAGAGGAGCTTTCATAGCATTAGGGAATTTGTGGAGGTCAACAGGAATTAAAAGAATACTAAAAAATTTAACTCTTTCAGGCCCATTAATTTTGACAGACTTGGCCCACATTAATTTCCCTTTACAAAAATGGCAGAGGGGTGGGTGTACAAGAAAGGCTGTAGATATTGTAATATACTTCTAATCCCTATAACAGTATATATTTTTTTAACGAGAAATGAGTGTACATTCTGAATCTGATGATAAGTGTTTGTTTAATTTTGTTATAGTCAGTGGAAAAAAAGAATTCAGCAGGTGTTAATTTCACAAGGACTATATTTCACAAAAAAATTCTTCACTTACCATTTTTTTGCAGCCACAAGAATAGTAAATATCTAAATTTGAGAACAAAACTTCAAAGTTTGTTCAATTTCCTAACATATTCTAAAGTTATGATA